ATTTTATTTTATTTTTTTTAAATTTATATATATTTATATTTATATTAAATAATAAACCTATCGCTGACTTGAAGCAAGCAAACTTTTATAAATTTTATAGTTATAGGTTTTATGTAAAGTGCCATAAGGGGAAATATTTGAAATTGATTTTATGAATTAAGAAAAAAATATGTATAAAAATTTCCATGTTTTGTAAAAATCTTTCAGAAATCGTACAGCAATATATCCTATATATGTTCATATAGGCCAATAGTTAAAGCTGAATAGCCTTATATATATTTAAGCAAAATCAGCTTGTCCTGATTTACTTCTCTTAATGGTTTCAGACTTTAATAAAATAAACTGGATTCAGCCATTAAATAAAAATAGATTTTACATTTGCCTAGGTTTCGTTGCTAAATGTGACTGTATGGTTATTCAGAAAAATACACATTTAAAAAATTATCAGTAGTGCATTTGCAATTCACTATTAAACATTATTTCCTGCATTTAAGCAGTTAAGTATTTTTATTTTACAAGTGCGACGCACACAAATTGTTATCGATTTGTATTTTTAATTAAATTGACAGCCTTGCACAACTTTCCGTGTGCATTTATTATACCCTGAACCCATTGAAAATGGGAAATCAATCAGGGTATAATGGTTTTGTGAAAAGTATGTAACAGGCAGAAGGAATCATCGCAGACCCCATAAAGTATATATAATCTTGATCAGGACGACGACGAACTGAGTCGATATAGCCCTGTCCGTCTGTCCGTCCGTCCGTCCGTATGACTTAAAGGATCTCAGAAGATATAAGAGCTAGAGAGCTGAGATCATGCATACTCGTGTATACCATAGGCAGTACAAGTTTATCTTATTTTTTCGATAGCTCATCCGATAACTTTTTTATCGAGAATAATCGAAAAATCAACATTGTTTTTTCAACCTAACTTGAACACTTTTAGACCTGGAGACTTCAAATTTGCGTTGTATATAAAGTTAATGAATACAAAGATTTTGTAATTTAAAAACGCATTTCAAGTACTAGAGACATGTGCTTTAGAATGTACACACATTTTAACCATATGATTACGCTCTGAAAGATTCATTAAGATTGTATCCCTACAAAAGAAATTATTCAACAAATAAACAAAATATTGCCCACATTGCAATGCAGCGCAGTCCAAACGCAGCCGCTGCTTACTGCGCAGTTAGCAGAGCGCGTGCTTATTAGTTCATGTGTATGTATGTGTGCATAAAATAAGTCCAGAATGATTAGAATATCAGCTTGGAGGGTTCAGGGTATCTCCTAGTCGAGCAATCTCGACTGGAAACTTCTTACTTGTTTTTTTTATTAATGTAATATATGGGTTTTTGCCGATGTAATGTCGAGTACGTGGCCATGGGTAAATGGCATATGAAGTTGTCAACTGCATTTCGAGATGGAGCAAAAAATAATGCCATGTGTGTGTGTATGTGTGTGATAATGGGACCTATTGCTATTTGGCATTCATTCGCCACATGTTTGACTCGATTTGTAAGTAAAATACAAAAATGGAGTAGACGAACACAAAGTATTGCAACAATGAAGGACAAATTTGTTTTTGATAGAAAGTCATGTCAAAAACAATAGCCCAACTATTGTCATACTTTACTTCTCCAGTTTTTCAAGTTTCTCTTTTTTCCAAAGAGTTTCCAGAGGGGCGGCATATAGCACTGGAGAAGCGCGCCCAGCGTTGAGTTGACCCTCATCAAAAGCTAACTAAAAACTTTTCTTTTTATATTCCTGTATGGATCTATCTATGTATGTATGTGTTTGTGTTTGTGACTGAGTTTTCTGCTGGCTAAAGTGGAAAATAAATGATTTCACAGGATGACCATTTGCGTGTTATATATGTACATACATATACGAGTCAGCTTATGCGTGTGTTTGTGTTTGTGTCTGTAAATGGTCAAAAAGTTGAAAACCAAGCTACAGCTTTTTACTCAATCTGAAGAACAGGCAAACAAATACAACATCTGTGGTCAAAACAAAAGTCAAAACTAAAACGAAATAAAAAGCCAATAGAAATTTAAACAGTTTGACGCATTAAATACTCATTGGGCCTCCGGGCTTAGACAATATCCTAGAAAATAAAACTTGGCGAAGAGAGTCTTATAAACCGAAGCGTATACTGGATACTTTATGTAAATTAAAATGATTTTAGCACAACATTATTATAATAGTATAATATATAATTTTTAAAGATGACTTTTGTAATATTTATTCGGACCATAAAATATATAAAAATTATTGATTTTTTTTTTTTTATTGGTTTAAATCAATTTATTTTGACTCGACCTTAAATAAAACACAAAAAACACAGTTTCATTTGACTCAACAACCGGTCGGGTAACCAGAGTAAAACAAAAGTCGGGCTCAAGCCGATCGCGAACGAACTCCTTAAAGAATCGATGCAATCAGTTGATCTCTCAGTTCATCATCAGAGTGTGATTAAGAGACAACTTAAACTAAACTAAGAAAGTGTTTGTTGAGCAATTAAAAACAAAAATAGTTTATATTTTCTGTTATATCTCTGAATAATCTGAATTATGTTTCACTTAAATGACTTCTAACCTTACTTTAACATACCATCTAATTACAGGGTATTTCCAATTGTGAACCTGTTTTCTCTGCAATTCCATATACTCCACACAGTTTGCTTTCGACTACAGGGTATTACTAATTTGAGCTCACACCAATTGTTTGCATTGACCTCAGAGCTTTGCTTTTGCCAAAATACGCAACCAATCTGGCAGCTAACAACAGGCTTATCCTTAACGACCAAGTGCCCAAGCTTCGCCGCAAATCCCAGGCTCCTTCGACCATTGAAATTCATATTTAATTAGGGAGCAGCGTTCAGACCAACCCTTTTGCATATTTCACATCGGATTGGCTTCTCAACTGCTGCGTCAACTTAATTACGATGCGATGCTTATCACGATCATAGTCAACCCCATCGTCATCTGTCGCATCATCGTCAACATCATCATCATTGTCTTCTGTGCCTGCAGGCTGGCTACTGTCAGGGAAGTGCCACTTCATCAGTCAGCATCGATGCTGCCGGCGGCTGTTGTCCGCGCCTCCTGTTGCCACCTGTCCACGTCCATTGCCATCTCTAGCTTTATCTGCCCAATGGCCCAACAGTCAGGTGGCAGCTCTGTCTGCGGTGCGCGAAGGGGGATGGGGGGTGGGTAGGTTGTGTGGTGCAAAAGGTAGTCTTTGTTTGCACAGTTCCTGAGGCGCGCTCCACACAGATTTCGTTGGCCCCGCCGTACGCCGTGCTCCGTGTGGTTTTTGGTGGCTTTGCCTAGAGGCCAACTCTGCACGGCTTAGCGCTAAAATGTGTGCCTATCTCGGTCTCTCGCTGCTTGCATACATCTGTCTCTCTCTCTCTCTCTGTGTATATGTTTGTCTATGGCCTGATGGAATTTTAATTAAATACTCGGGTGTCTATGTTAATTTATATGCGCATATGCTTAGCAGCCCGCCAGCTACTGCAGACCATGGAACTGCCGAGAGTCTGTAGTGCGAGCCGAGCTCCCAATGTCATTGATATGAATGGGGTTTGAAGAGGAGGACGCCGGCTGGAGTATGGGTAAAAGGTAAAGTGCCTGCGCATGTTTATGATTAAGAGCTTTATACGATATGTAGTAGTGGCGCGCGTGTCCTTGTTCTCAGCTCGGTTTCATTGTTGAAAATTTAATTATCATTTTTAATGCTTAGTGAGCACTATTCTCTCAGATCCCTCTGCCGTTGCGGTTATTGTGGGGAGGCTAAAAAGGTTCTTCGTGTTCAGCTCTTTGTATTTTTCGGCAATGCCACTTGATATTATCACGTCCCCAGCGTCTACCCAGCTGGCTCTCTCTCTCTCTCTCTCTCTCTCTGCTCTGTCTATCTGTCTGTTTTCTATGCTTCTGTCTGTGTTCTGGTTGTCACCTGGTTTTCGAGATGAAATGCTAAGGGCTTGATATGGGATATATACTCGTAATTTGTTGTGGGGGTTTTCTTACTCTCACTTATGTTCCTCCTCTCTCTTCTTTCCTTATCTCGCTCTCAATCTGTGCGTGTTTGAATTTGCTTAACGAATGGCTGAATGACCCAGCAACAGATTGACATTTTCTCATCAAATTGGGGGCATGGCAATACGTGTAACTATTCCCCTTTTGAAATGGCCTGGTTTGGCTATTATCATGCTTAAGTTTGTAGCTGCCATAAATGTAATTAATAAATTATCTGATGGGATAGCTTAGCCTTGCTAAAAGGCGTACACAATCCGATAACTGTTATGAAAGCTGCTTTACATAAAATTTGGGCCGTTACCAGCTTTAACTTGTTGCGAATTGTATGGCAAAATTTAAAAGGAATTTTATTCTTGAGATTTCTTGATATTGATAGACTTGTAGAAAGTAGAGAATTATAATTGAAATTTCAAAGAGATTAATAATTGAAAATATGAAATATAAATTAATGCAATATGAAAAGAAATGTTTATCGATAAGTTTCTGTATAAATCTTGATTGATAATGAATTTGTTTTCATTTATTCTATATTCATTATTAATCGAGATTTCTACAGTAGCTTATCGATATATATTTGAACTTATATAAGGTATACATATATATATATATAGTATATATATATATATATATATATATATATATATATATATATATACTAATGATATATATATATATATATATATATATATATATATATTAGAAAAATCGATCTTTATCGATAAATTGCGGTTGCATATCAACTGCTCTTGCATAGTAGTTTTATTTTATTTATCATAATAAATATTCACCTTAAAATTGTGCTGAAGATGAATAAGTGTAGTTTGTTCGCTGTATGCTGCTATTTGAGTTACTCTTCCGATTATCGATATTTTTACTTAATGGCATAAATTGAAATATTGAGATCTTTACTTACTCGCCTTTCACTGAATGAATTTTTATATTCAAACAATTCTTGTAAAATATATGATTTTGCTTTTAATTGAACATTTTACTTACAATCGATAACATTCACAATTAGTTAGTTTTATAATAATATCTATCTAAATGTTTCCCTTATACCTTCCTGATTGGCAATATAGTGAAGTTTTATTGATCGAATCGTTTGAGCCGCTGCTACGTGTTCGCATCGATGCTGATATTCATTTTGGCCAGATTAGCGCGACTCGTGGCATGCCCCGGTTGCAGCTGCAACGCGCGCCGATAACAATCGACCGCCTGTTGCCGCTGGCCGCGCATCTGCAGAATGGCGCCCAGATTGGCGTGGGCGTGCGCCGCCTGCGGCTGCAGTGTAACGGCGCGGCGATACCACAGCTCCGCCTCGGCGAGACGATTAAGCAGACGAAGTGCATCGGCCACGGCCGACTGCAGGGCATAGTTATGGGGCGCCAGAGCAGCAGCGCGCAGCCGATAACCCAGCGCCTCCTGCGTGCGCTGCTGTTGCTCCAGGAAGTCAGCTGTTTTAGTAGGCTGTTAGTTAGCAGAGATCAAATGTCGGCACGACTTCTTCGCCCACTTACCGTAATGATGATGGGTGCTCGGCTCTAGGGGTGACAGCTCCACGGCACGCTTGAACCACAGCTCAGCTTCTGCATAGCGACTGCACTGTAGAGAGACAGATAGAGACACAGAGGGACACAGAGAGAGAGAGAGAGAGAGAGTTATTAAAACCCGTTGCATGTCAACAAGAGTTCGCACTTACATTTCTGGCCAATGCTTGACCGTAAGACACATATGCAACGCCCTCGTCTGGCTGTAATTGCAGCACCAGTTGCTGCTGCCTCTCCGCCTCCTGCCACTGCTCCAGTTCCACGTGCAACGCCGCCAGCCGTTGGTGCAACATGGCGCGCTGATTCCGGCGCTCCAAGGGCAACGTGTCCAGCGCCTCGTTCAGCACCTCCATGGCCAGTTGGCTGCGGCCCTGCGAGCGATGCAGTGCACTTAATTGCAGGTACGCACTGTGCCGTGCCGCCTCATGGGCGCTGCGATCGCGCACGCCATGCCCCGGCAGTCGAGCGCCCGCCAGCAACACAGCTGCTGCCTCCTCCTGCCGGCCCTGGTCCCAGGCCAGCAGCGTAGTGGCCAGATTCACGTAAGCCGGCGCCAACTGTGGACGCAGCTGTATGGCCCGGCGATAGCAAAGCAAAGCTGCGGTATAGTTCTGCTGCTGCTGATGCACGATGCCCCTGAAAGTATGCAAGAAAAATAGCTTTATGGATCTCTCAAGCCAAGTGGATTGTTTAATTTTTTAATTATTTTTTTTTTATTTATTTATATTTATTATTTGGTTTATTAAGTGTGGAAACGGTACAATTAGATATAGTACTTTAACAACACATATATATACATAAAATTAGAGGCAAACCTCTTTCAATTTGTGAGGACTGAGAAAAAAAGAAAAATAAATAATATTTATTGCATACCCAGGAAATTTAGGACTGATAAGAGTTGGACTTGGGCTTATTTACATCCTTATTTTGTTATTTAATATTTTATTTTGTATATGACACACATTTCATTTAAAAAATTTCATTCTCTTAAAAATTTAAGGCAAGACAATTTGCATAGATTTAAACCGTATTTTTCTGAATATAGATACGAACATACAAAAGTATATAATTTATATACATAAATATTCGTATGTAACTTCAGCTGTGCAATGTTGCGCAGTGCTTAAACTTAAAACATAACATTAAACTTAAAACATATATATATATAAAAATAAAATAAAATAAAAGAACAAGTCAAAATACGCATGAGAACAGCCCAGAGTTATTTCTTCAGATTCTACTTCTTGGTAAAGTTGTGTTATTTTCTTTGTCTTTTTCTTTCTTGTTTTACATAACCATAACGCAAAACTTGTTAGAAACGCTAAAGTGAAAAAAGCAGAGAAAAATAATGAAGACGGAGCTAGTAGTTATTCAAGAGCCGAGATTGGATGCTAGCCGAGGTCTAATAGTGTGCTGGGCTAAATTAACTTTCGCTGTTTTACTGCGGTTTCTCTAGTGCTTCGCCGGCTCTAATTGCAGCGCTCCGTCAAATACTTCACAATGTTGACCTTCAAGTATTTTTCACTGGGCGTATACTTAGTTTTCTGGCTAACCATGCAGACGTTGGCTACATTTAATTAACAGAGTTGAGCTTCCGCAGAGTGCGAGAGTCAGTCTCTAGTGCGCATTGGGTAAACAAATATGTATGAAATCGTAGATGGTTCTGCATAGACAATTCGTCTGGGTTTTTAATATAAACAAAGAGTACGTATATGCATGAATAAGTGTTTTTAAATAAAGGATGTATTTTATTTGCAGCTCGAACGTAACAAAACCGTACAAAATAAACTCATGCACAGATTGCACAACAGAATCACCCGAAAATAACAGCAAAAGCAACAACGACCCTGCAATAACAACAACACGAATAGCTACAAACAACAACAACAAGCAAACGACGCGTTCTAAAATTTGTGTTGAGTTGCGACAAGAAGTCAACAAGAGGAAAAATTTACAAATATTAAATTTTTAATTAATATATTCATTTTTTTAATAAATATTATGCATCACATGCTTATGTGAAATTAGAAATGAATGAAATTTATAAAAATTATTTTTAAAATCAAATTAAAAAAATTATTTCAATTTTATTTCATTAAATAAACATTTTGGAAATTAATATAATAAATAAATATATCTATTTCATTTAATTACAAAAATTAATAATTTTATTTCTATTTCAAACGTATTAATAAATCTTTCATTTCTAATCAACCTTTACAGCATTCCTATAATAATGTTGTATTTATAAGCTTAGCATAAACTTCTTCATTCTAACTCTCTTTCGATCTGCCCTCGCCCGACACTAGCTACAATTGCATTTTTTTCCATTTGCTTAAATTTTGTTTATCGTGGAGCAACAACCCATTGAGATTCCATGTAAAGTCTCCCGTTGCCCACAAATTTCAGATCCGCGTCCCGCACGCCCCACCGCCCCTCCGCTCAGTTGCAGTTCGGAATGCCAATGGGCAGACAAGTGGGAAGCAATGCGAAACGAGCCAAGTGAATGCATGCGAATTGCAGGCGAACAACGGATGGATTTGCTCAACTGAATATTGAGTGCGACTATTCTATTCTATACTATTCCACAATATAGAAAACCCAAAATGTTGTTTTATACCATTTGCACGCTCTCTTTCTCCTTTTCGCTCGCTTGCTTGATTGCTATCCCTCTCCAGCACTTTGGCAGGTAAGCAAACAACAGCTACTGGTATAGGTAAGGATTGTGGGTGGGGAGGGTATGGGTAAAAAAAACGAGTGAAAACAGAAATCGAATTATACAGCTCAGTGATTTTTCGGTTTTGGTGTTTGGTTGCCTGTTACTTGTAGTGTGCCTCCCCCTGCCCATCTCAGCGCCCTGTTTGAGTCTCTGGGCCGCCGTCTAGCTTTGATGTGGCATGCTACGGCTAAAAATCACAGCAGCATCCAGCACAATAAATCCATGACAGTTGACTGGCATTCGGGCGGGCAGAAGGGGTGATACCCGGGGCTGAAGACCCGCAGACGCGACGTGCGCCTCATGGACACGTGGCAAAAGGCAAAAGCAGCAACAGCAACAGCAGCAGCAGCAGCAGCAGCAGCAGCAGCAGCAACAGCAACGGCAACAGAAATTTTCGCAGCAGCCGCAGGTTGCACGTTGAAGGGGAGGTTTGTGCTACTATTGATGTCTTTACGAGTAAATAATGTACAAACAGCTGCTTATCCGCGTTGCAGGTGGGGATTAGTGGAGGCCAGAGGAGCGGCGGCAGCTGGCTGAAGGTTTGCTATTGACATTGATTTTCGATTAGATGCCGGAAATTTGACATTCCGAGGCGCTTGCTTTTTATTACTTGGCAGCTTTAAACAGCGATGTTCATATAAAGTGTTTATGGAAATGTGACCCAACTTGACTTTGAGATTAGCGGCAGCAGCAGCAGCAGAACACCCACCCGACAACCCACAGCCGCCTGCATAATGCAAGTGGGCGGCGGGTTTTAAAAATTCAATCAGCCAACTTTTCGATAAGCTGCAAAAGCCAACGGCCAACATTGAGCAAAAGGCGCAGACGAGTAAAATGCCAGAGAAAAGCGTCTTAAACTTTCACCGTCGCTAAAATGAATTTGCGCCTTGGCCATAGTTGGTCTGTTGGCGACTGTTGGCTAGTGGTGCTGTGACAGCCGGGCAAACTGGAGAAATAGCAATGGATCGGGTAGCGCTTTGAGCCAAGTTAATAACTTGAAGCCTTAGCAGTTATGAAGTTCGCATTTTGCCTTCGTGTCGTTGACTTTACATTTACAGTCTTGTTCTTTTTTTTGCTTTTGTCGTCTGTCAGCTGATTAAAAAGTATTTTTCAGCAATGAATTATGGTTGCTTTAATGTGAATATTAATATTTTTTTTGTATATTACTTATTTGTGGAATGTAGAGAATTTTATTTGATACTTTTCAAGTTGTAGCTTCGTGTTTCATTGCCCGTGTTCTACTGATGCTATTTTAAGACCAATTTATTTATAGGCTGACGAGCTATTTTCCATCTGGGTCAAATTGAAATTCTTTAAATTTTTACTAAATTTTTTCCTTGGCAGCTTCTTTGTTAAAAAGGCATATACAATGGTTTGGCTTATGGGTTAAGTGGTTAGGGTCACCTTATTCGGGTGTTTATATCTACCATGTTGTTGCGATCGAGTAGGTATGAGATATGTATGTGTGCTACAAATACATACGAGCTAAGCCAATTGGAATAAGATGTTTATAAGAACGTTTATAGCTTGTAAGAAGCTTTCAAATTTTTATTTATTTTCCAAAAAAACGATGAACTGTTATTTGTAAGCTAATCGAAGTTCTGTTACTCTTCAATTTTTAAAGGCAGTTTTTCGCTCAGTGTAATTACGCATCGTCGACGAATCAGAGTTAGGTTTCTAGTTTTTTATTTGACTCGATTCTGTCTTTGCCGTTGTCTCTGTCTCTGTCGCTCTGCCTTGCAGCCTTTATGCTCGTGCCCTAAATGATGGCAATTTAGCTACAGGCGGGCAGTGGGGCATTATGTACTAGACTCGCATGATTACAGACCGGCGCGCATAGTAGAAGGCAAGGTAGTTAGTTGGACCCAGCAGTTGGGAGCAGCTGCTGCGGTTCCGAGACCGGGGCTCCCAGCCGGGAGTCGTGTGCAATTATTTGTATTGGGCGCACAGCTGTCGCCAGCTCAGTTTGCATTTGTGCGCGGGAGCCTTTGGTATAGGGGATGGAGTGGGGAGGAGGGGTAAAGTTGGATAAAAGTTGGCAAGCGAGCGAAAAGGGATTTTCCTACAATTTGCCAAAGAAGCAAAGCGAAAGGATTTCTGGCCTTCCTGCGCTGCTTCTCTTAGTCTCTTTTCATTTTACTTTTTGCTCTCCTCTTTTTTTTTTTGTTGGAGCGTAAAGCCTATTATGTCAAACACAATAATCAACAATAAGAGGGGCAACAACAATAGCAACGACAACAAGAATCATGACAATGACAACGGGTCGTATGAGCATTGGTTGCCTGGATCTGGCTCTGGCCGGGGTGAAGAACGGAAAATGACGTGGCTGCATATTCAAAAGGACACTCGCACTCATATGCCAAAGGGGAATGGTGGGGGGCAATGGGGCCGAGAAGGGCTTGGTTAATGCGTTGGCATGTTAGCGCATGTTTGCCCTGCCACCGTTCCCAATGGGCGCTGAAAGGCAGCTCAGCTTGGCGGGCGGTCGCTGCAGCCAGAGTCGAGAGTACATTTCACACTGCTGACTGCTGCCATGTGCCCGTACTGAAGTCCAAGGGGGGCCTGGTCCGGGTCAGTGGAGCGGTTGGGTAAGTGCAAGTGTCATTGGCCTCAAAAGCCAAAGCAGCACTAGCTGCAGCAGCAGCAGCAACCGCTGAGTGTCCAGTTAGTGGCGACGCAATGCATCAGCAGTTTAAACTTGCAGCTTCTCTCTGCAGTTACTCGCTGCATTATTGCATCTCAACTGCAACACAGTACAGAGTAAATGCCAATCGAGCTGGCAACGTGTCCAGCTATTCGCCACTATTGCTCTAAGCCGCATTCCAACTGCCATCTATTTCGCCGACAAGTGGCATGTGGTGCAAACAGTTTCAAGTTTATTGAAAATATACTATTTTTTCATGTTCGAAAACGGCTCTAACATATCTACCAACAAAATGTAATTTAATATTTTGTTCAATACAAAATGAGATTTGTAAGAAAATTCATTGATTTGTAAAAAAACTTTAGACTCTTAATCGTGGCTTTGACTTGTAGTATATGAATATTGAATATCCTTTTTGGTTCATAACGTAAATGTCAATATTTACAGGGATAACAAATAGTTGTAGCTTTAACTTAACAATTTTTAGTAATTTACACAATTTGCATATTAGCCAGCATACCAGGTATTTCTCATCACTCTCATCTCTCATCTTCCATCACTCGTACATTGGTCACATAATCTATGTAAGCAGCGCCGACTCCTGCCACATTTTCAGAACCATGACATATAATTTTGTCTTTTTCAAATCGCTATAGCTGCTATTCCCCGAGCTTTAATGTTTTAGCAGTTGTTAGGCAACTGAGATTAGATATCATAGGATGCACATTCCCCGCGGCTGCAGTGCATTCACTATGACCTAATTAATGGCACACACTCGTTTCTGCAGGGGATTACAGCGCAATACTCGTTCAAAGCCTGTACTACCAGCGCTTAGGGGTCGGCCATATGGAGTGTGGAGAGTGGATGTGAGTGGGTGGTTAAGCAAAAGGGAAGCTGCGCAAAAAAAAGAAAGAGAAATCAAAACATAGAGGTACAAGTGCCCAGCAGGCAACTGTTTGCTGTTGATGGTTGTCGAGTGCATGCAAATTGCAATCCACAAGATGCTGAACATGTGCCCATGTCCGTCCAACAACCATGGCGTTTCCTGTGCTCCTCTTCCCCTTCAGCGCTCTTCACTCTCCACTCCCTACTCTATCTCTCCCTCACCTATCCTTCGGCCCCCGTTGATTTGTATGCGCGCAGCGGTCGGAGCCAGCGTTCTTCTTTTTTTGTTGGTCCCAACTTCTCAGATGTTGTCCAAACGTTTTTGCCAAGTGGCAAACAGGACAGAAGCAGCTGCCATTTGGCATTAAAGGCGTGCCACCGACCACAGCGCTGCCGAGCCATTTTCTTTTTACCCCACAGCAGCTTCCCATTGCCCCTTAACTGCGCCAAGGTCGCGCCAGCCATTCACTTTGAGCTTTTGAATTCTCAAAAAGGCGAGCAAAAACTGACATCCATTTTGAGCATTCAGGCTGCATGTTTTGGCAGCCGCAGAAAAACGCTCAACTGGCAAAATTGCAATGCAGGCGCGAATTTTGCTTCAATTTGCATCGGGCTGATGACTTGGACGTGCTAAGCTTCGTTTACTTACAGATTAAAGTGCGCATCGGCCATAGTTGGTCGGTGTGCCAGGGCCGATTGCAGCGCCAGCTTGGCCTCCTCATAGCGTCCCTGGCTGCTCAAGACGCTGCCCAGATTTCCCAGAGCTGCAAAGAATGTCGAAAGTAGTTCAAGTCAATGCAAACTAGAGAGTCGAAAGTGGAATACATTTCATAGGGAAATTATGTATAAAATATAGGTCAATGAATATGAGAGGTTTTAGACCTGTTTTAAATTTGAGTAGCTTTAAGAAGCTTTATAAATTGTAAAGGCTTAGTAAAGTAACTTTAAAGGTGCCGTATCTTTGTTTAGCTAATTAAGTAAATATAAAAATAATTTTTAATATAACGTTTAATATATAGTTTTCTATGGCCTTTGGTTTCACTTTTAAATCAGATTCTAAGCTCAGCATATTTTGCACTTTTAATTAATATAGTAATTCGTCTTAAACCTTTAGTTTTCGAAATTTTTGATATTTAAAAGTAGGAAGCGATATAATAGCAAATTATTTATCTAATTTTTCATCCAAAGCTAAGTTAAGATTTAGTTCATGCGTTAGCTTGCTTGAATCAAACGGATGATTTTAGATCAATTTCACGGACCAAATAAAGCTATATATCATATAATTTTAATATCAAATTCTTTCTAGTTTCTCTCGCTTCTTTAACACCTACCTTTCGGTGGATTGATGGCGATAGCGCTACGGAACAGCTGTTCCTCGTTCTGCCAGTCGCCATTGCGTTGAATCGTGCGCAGACTAAAGCTGCCCAGCAGCAGGCCAAGACAGCAGAGCAGCAGCAGCCTGTGGACAGAGCTGTGCAGACGCTGCCAGAGGCGACCAAAGCCTAGGCCCAGCATTAAACAATAGCCAACACTGGGCAGATAGAGTAGACGCTCGGCCAGCACGAAGCCCACGTGGAAGAACAAATTGCAGGCGGGCAGAAAGGGCAGCACCATGAATGCTATACAGGTAACCAAGACAGACGCCGATGCGGATGTCGCTGCAGCTGAGGTGGCAGTGGAGGCAGAGCAAGAAGACCGGCTGACTGAAGCGTTGTGCTGCAGCGACGATCGTTGTTGCTGCTGCTGGTGCTGCTGCTGTTTGAGCTGATGATGGCAGGCGCAGACGAGTCCATGCCATGCCTGGCAGCTGCTGCCGCCCAGACGCTGCAGCAGCGGCAGCGAAATGCTCGTGGCCACAGCTGCATAGTCCACGGAGCTGTTGGCAGTGCAGCGCCAGCGAATGCCCTTGCAGGTCACGGCCAGCAAGATGCCGTAGAATGCCAAGCTGAGCACATTACGGGCATCCCATAGCGTTCTGATTCGTGGTATGGCCTCCATGCCCCAATCGAAGCTCAGGTGTTGCGGCCAGAGTAACAGCTGAAAGTTTGCCACAGGCAGGTACAGGTAGCTGAGTGTGCGTGTGCACCAGCTGGGCTCGTGGGCCGTCGGATTATCGGCGGCGGCGAATGCAGTCGAGGGGCGTGGCACAATGCTGAGGCGACAGTAGAGAGCGCAGAGCAGAGCGACGCTCAGAATGGTGAGCGAGCGTAGGCGATGCTGGAAACCCAAGAGATGGGGAATATGTTACACATGAGTAAGGGATGAAGATTAGAATTATTTATATGTGTGTAAAGATATTACTCAAGTGCGTTGGTTCACACAGATGTTTAGTATTAAGGAGTTGCTATGACACTCACCTTATCGTCTCCGGCATGCTTGACGCCCTGGCCAAGGCACAGGAGGTCGCATAGTCCACATAGCAGCAGCAGCGTAATGGCGGTCTCCTTGCAGAGCAGCGCCGCCACAGCCAGCAGCAGTGTGAGCGCCAGCGAGCGCCAATCCCTGTGCAGCATGTGCCGGCGATAGACCAGGTAGGCGAGCAGCCAGCAAACTGTGGCACTTAAGTCCGCACGGCCCACCACGCCGGCCACGGCCTCTGTGTGCACGGGATGGGCGGCAAAGAGGGAGCCGGCGGCATAGACGGCCGCACGTGTGGGCAGCAAGGTGCGTGCCACGTGCACCACCAAGACGGTGGCCAGGCCGTGCAGTAGCAGGTTGATCAGATGGAAGGGCCAGGCAGCGCCACCGCCCAGCACGAAATTGAGACGAAAGCCCAGCACGCACAACGGACGCCAGGAGCCATGGGAGCCGCTGTCCGTCAGCGGTGTGCCCCAGTAATCATTCTGCAGCAGCTGAGCCAGCGGCCCGGTTCCAGTTACATCCGCATTGCCCAAGATGGCACGCCTGCAAGCAAAGATAGAGGTGGTGAGATGGAGAGTGGCAGTGGGAGAGAGATAGCAGAGTGTAGCATGCTCGCATTACCTGAGCCGACAACAACCTGTGGCACACCTGTCCTATTAATTAAAATGATTAATTGCCCAGTCAGCCCCAAAGCACAAAGCCCTGCGGCAAAACTTAACTCGCTCTCCCTCTCTGTATATCTGTTTCTATCTCCTTCTTTCTCTATAGTCCCACTCGACTCGACTCGACTCGAATCGACTCGGTGTGGACTAGAGTTAGCTCGGATCGGATCGGGTTTCCTGCCACATGCAACTTGAGCTAGCCAGGCTGGCCAGGCTGTGCCTCTGCTTATTTTTATTGTCCTTTTGTTTTTGTGCCCGGCATAAATATTGTTAAAGTGCCGAGCGACAGGACACCACTCGCTGCCTTCTTCTGCCTCCTTTTCGTGCTTTGATTAATTGCCGATTTGTTGGCGCACTTGGTGTTGTGCTCAGTGTTATTCTTGTTGTTGTTGTTATTGTTTTTGTTGTTGCTATTGCTCTTGTTGTTATTCTACTCTATATATATACACACACACACACACTCTCTCTCGTCGGCACACTCTATTGTCACTGGGCAAAGTCAACGGCTCTTTGGTAATTGCCTCACCGTTGTAGCTTTGCTTGTTGTTCTAATCGATTTCCAGTCTGCTCCCCTCTGGCCCAGTGCCACCACCGTCGCTTCGCTCTAGCCAAGGCCTAGGACCTTTGCTGTCGTTGTTGTTGTTCTCGATGTTGTTTTGTTGTTATTGTTGCACAGTTTGAAATTTATAGTAGGTTTGCAATAATACCTTAGCTATTTTATGCATAATTAGTTTTCAACGTTATCCAGCAAACACTATTAATTAACTTTCCCTCACAGAGGCAACGCTTCACTGCGCTTAAATGACACAAGCCAAACAAATATATTCGATAATGGTGGAAAAGTGTAACAGGTATTTGAGAGAAGTTGAATAACATGAAAATTTCTATTGGTTTTTTCTATGAGTTTACTAATGAAGTGGAATAAGGTTTGCATAAGTTATATAACTTCTATTTATAGGCATGTTGAAGCCTTGTTTAAAGCCTATTACTGAGCTTTGATAATTTATAGAGTAATTCGTAGCATAATAATAAATTTCTTAGCATACTGTGTCAAGGAACTTTCACATTAACATAAAAGATTACAGTACATTAACCAACTGTGTTAAAGAATTTGAGCATATTATAAATAGATGTTTCATAGTCTTAACATAGCCTTAAATGACAAGGAATTATAGTTCGATCATTATACAACTATATAGTTATGTAATATATTAGTATAGAATAGTAATATGATGTTGTACAGTATATAATAAATTCTTATGCCGAGCTCGAATCAAAATCCTTTTCGAATGCATTTTATTATTATTTGAAATATTTATATACAAACAGATTTAATAAACTTTTAGTTAAGTAACTAACATAAGCTTTAAAGTATAGAAAGATTAACTAATTTACAAAATGGAACTTCCCAAAAGTTTAGTTTTAAAGCTTTAAACTCGGCTTTCATTCATAGATAACTGACATGCACAGACACCCACGTTCGCCCAAAAGTAATTTGTGTTTACTTTGGTCTTAACTGGCCCGCGGGCCGTAGTTTTAGGTTTCTGGCATTCAAGCTCAAAAGTTAACATAAGCATTTTGTTCAATTTTTTGCTTTTTCGGTTTTTGTTTCTTGTTGTCTGGCCCAGCTCCAGGCTATAGAAGCGATGCATTTGTTTTCAAGCCATATAAGAAACACCAATAAATAATGGATAGGAAAAATAATAAAAGCACTTCATATGCAAAAATCCATATATTTTCGTAATTTCTAAAGCAATTCAAGAGGGAAGCAAAAAAAAATAAAAATTTGTAAAAATATGAAATTGAATTTTTCAATTTTAATACGAATTTTTTATTTATCAGCTGCCCGGAAATACTATATAAAAATATTGTGAATGGTTCTCAATTCTATATTGTCCATGTGTGTGTGTGTGTTGTGCATGCAACACTTCATATGCATGAATGGTGGCATAAAAGCGCACACTCAAGTGTGGGGCGGGTGTATGGCATATGCCACAAATTGGGTTCGCAAATTCGGCGGTGAGACGTGGATAAATTATTGGTGGGGCAGCAGCAGCACCAGCAGTAGTCATTGCTTTGGTACTTCCATCTGTACTTCAATTTCTATTGGTATTTTCTTCTGCGCAAAGCAGCCACAAAAATGTTGAGGGAGAGAGAGAGAGAGAGGGGGAGAGAGAGGGAGAGACAGCAAACAAATTCTTATCGGAAGCACACAAAGCTCAAGAAAAACTGAGCTGGAGTATGAAGCCCCTTTCTCTTTCTCACACACTCTCTCCCTATGTGCTTCGGCTGCAGTTTCAATTTTTGCATTTCTGTTGCTTTGCACTATGGAAACGCACAACAAAAATTTAGCTACGCCTCATTTGCAAGGATCTCAAGCAGCAGGAGCCAGGCGATGGCAAATATTGAAAAGCATTTCGGGCTGCATACCTTCGAGTAGCAGCAAGGGCATTGTATGCCAAGCTCCTCTGTGTTGCCTTTCGGCTTAATTTTTGCCCAGTCAAAGTGTGGGCGGTGTGGGAGGAGGGCGAGGGAGTAGGGTGGAGTGAGCTGTTGCTGACTGTGTTACTGTGCCACGGCGACGCCGAAACTTGTCGCCCAACGTCAGCGTCAACATTATCGTCTCATCAGCAGAATATCCGCAGTGCCTTTTTTGTGCTTTATCATCGTAACTAGTGAATGAATAGCAATACTCTCGCTGAGCAGGTGGCAGCAGTGGCACCAGAGGCAGTAGAGGGGCATGTGCATGGGGCACAACAACGAAAACATCAACACCAACAGCCGTGCAGGCAGCATTGGTGGCGGGGCACTTTGTCAGCAACAGCAACAGCAGCAGAGGCAGAGCCAAAGGCAGAGGCAGCAGCAAAAATGCCAAGATTCAAGCAGCTTACAAGTGTGGCATGTAGTAGCTGCCGTTATCGTTCGCTTTTCACTCGCACTCGAGGGCCAGGCAGGCGACGAGCACTGTAGCCAGGAGACAGGAGCTGTTTTGCCATGGCACGAGCCATAGCCAGAGGCACTAGGCATTAAGCCTGATACAGTGGAAGCGAAGGGAAAGGGCAAATAAGAATGTGATGAGTGCATGGAATAGATAAGCTCGTTATTAATATAATTTTATATATGTACAGAGAACTTGGAATTCAAATTAATTACGTAAATAATTTTAATTTTTCCCCTATTTTATTTTTGTTCATGCACTTTCCTTATAAAATATAAAAGAATTATATAAATTGGTTATGCATATTAATAAAATTTAAAATTGAAATATTTGTAAATTAAGTGTATGTATACGTATAAAAGGTAAATAAATTGTAAAAGAAAAAAGTTATAGAGTTTGAATTCAACAAATAAATATTAAAAAAAAAATTTTAATAATCTATACATTATTATATTTATGTTATACATAATTTATAAAAATATGTTTGCAAATCTTAACTGTTGAAATTATATAAATAATCTATAAATATATTAAGTAATCTATACATTATTATATTTATGTTATACATACTTTATAAAGATATGATTGCAAATCTTAACTGTTGAAAATATATAAATTTAAATCTGTAAATATACATAAATCTTATATAAAATAAACGCACGAAATAAAAAATAAAACAAAAATTCATTCATAAATTATTATTTATTTAATTCATTATTGTTAAATTTATTATTTAATAGCTATGGCTTTCTAAATAAAAATATCTTTATACATGCATAGCAACTATAATATTTTCGTACATACAATTACACGAATCGCTCCACTGTTCTCTGGCAAAAGACTCACCTACACATACTCACACTCGCACGCACACATGCACGCACAGGACTGTGGCTGGCTTTTGTCGAAGACAATATATCATAGCATCAGCAGCGAGCACACCCAATGTGGAGCGTAGCACACTGAAGCACAGCCTCTCTGCCCGCATGCCAGCCAAACGACTCCTCTCTGCCCCTCTCTTTCCCTCCACGCTCTATCTCTACCTTCGTTGTCGCCCCTCACCTGATACACTGGCGTTATGGCTACCCGCAAACACTTGTATGTTTTGTGGAGCTGCTGTTGCTGCTGCTTATGTAAAGTGAAAATTTTCGATTTTCTATAAAAATAAAGAAGAAAGAAAGCATAGAAAACGAGCACAAAATGCCGTTGCTACCAGCCGTGGCCAATCTCTCGCAGTCGAAGTGCGCTTGGAGCCTAACGGGCGTATGGCCATCAAAAAATTACGTATACGTTTCATACTCTTTTGTTATTGTTGCTGTTCTTGTTGCTGTTGTTGTTGTCTGTTGTCACTGTCCTTTTAATACGGCACATAAATTATTGTAAGACTGCAGATTGGCTCTTTGGCAACATTTTGTAGCTGCGTCGTTGTTGTTGTTGTTGGCGTTTTTCAGTCTTTTTCTGCTATTTTTTGAGAGGAAAATATATCAAGTTGTGAGGTGTGAAACGTTTGACCGTAGGCAAAGCCTTACAAAATCTGCCACAGCAAGCTCTTTAAAATCAAGTGACAATGTCTGTGGCCAAATGATAAATGATAAACCTGTTGGGCCACCTAATATTATAAGCATAACAGCATAACTTGCAATGGTAACAGCACTAAGCCGGCTTTGGATGTTTTTCGCTTCAGTAAAAGAAAAATAGATAATTTAAATGAAAATAATAATACGGTTGCTGAACAACAAATGCATAAGAACTTTAAGATTTGATCGGGATATGTGAAATTAACTATTGATTTATAAAATGGCCATTTTAAATGTATTTATTAATTATTTATTATATTTAGTCACCATATTCCAATGGTAAGCTTTGAGCTTCCTAATATTATAGCAACATTTTTATTAGATTAATTGTTTTTAATTTTAAAGTATTTTAATTATGCTGTGAAGCCAAAACTCGCGTATTAGATAATCCTTAAAATTCTTATAGCAGTCTAGTACAAAAATGAGACAAGAAATCAAATAAAAACTATTTGCTTGCCTTGCCCTCATGCATGTATATTCATATACATATCTACAGCTGCACCTAACTTATCTCATTAGTATTCCATAAAGATCGTTACCTCAATTGCAGCACAAAAAACACTTAATTTATGCATTTATTATCAGGCAATATGTGTGTATGTGTGTGTGTGTGGGGCTTAACTTCGAACATAATTCGTTTTATTTTGTGATTTGTATCCTAAATATATCATGTGAAACTTTTTAAAAACTCATATCTCTGCAACTATTGTACAACAGGAAAACGTATTACACTCACACCCACACACCCACCCATACCTATGTATGTCTAGATGTCCTCTCTGAATGTGTGTGTGTGTGTGAAGAAACCAAATGGCAAAACGACGAACGAAACGAAACATGAAACAATTCACAGCACACGTGAAAAATGTTTATGGATCGCTATGCCACACCCCCGAAACGCCCACCATGCAGCCACCCCCGCACCCTCTCTGGCAGTGTGTAAGCATTGGCCATTGCTCTTTTTCCAGTTGATAGGAAACAAATTGAAGGGAATGCTGCCATTTAATAAATCATGTTTTGTTTGGCTTGGCTTGACAATAATAACTTGTGCTCATGTGGCAACTGTGGCCATGTTGTGTGTGTGTGTGTGTGTGTATGTGTGTGTGTATGTGTGTGTGACCACAACAACAACAATAGCTGAAGCTGCATAGGTAGGCAATGCCAGTGCTGGTGCTGGTGTTGGCAGCTGCGTGAAGCTGACCACAGTAGCATCCGCTGCTCCGACCAAAAAACATCAACTCGCCAAGAACTTTTCGTCCCCAAAAGGGAAGCCTTGTTCAACTAGGCTAGCAGACGGTGGAGGAGTGGGGATCCGGGACGTGGCGGACTAAGGTGGTACTGAGTTACATAAGTTACGTTTATTATTTGAGTGTGTCTGTAAGTTTTGTGCTTGTTTTCTGACAAAATCTCCACAAAAAAAAAAAAAAAAAAAAAAAAAAAAAAGAGGAACAACATAGGATAATGGTATAAACTAGAAGATATTGTGTAATTAATTTTTTATATAAAGATTTATAGTAAATATAAATTTTAATACTTAATGCTTGATATTCCTTTTATATTTATAATTTTATTGGAGAATTTTAATAATTGTTATTAACAAACAAAAATGAAATGCCATATTTATACACAACTATATAAATAATTTTATTTGATGAATTATTTTAAGTATTTTTCATTTTACATTTTCTATAATTCTTAGCAAAGAGCTCATTAATAATCGATCTATATTCTAAATCTATCATATCAAAAAATATCACAACAAAATTTTGGTTTTGACTGACTTAAAGGAAGAGACACTCACAATTAAGAAGCTAAAACTTTCTTTATTAAAGATTTCCCTTTAGCTGTTTTGTAAAGCATCTATAGCTAAGCTTACAGGGTATATAAGCAGGAGCAACTGCACAAAATAACGAGCTACAACTGAGGCTTTTGGCTGAGCACTTTGTGCATAACTTCCCATTCATGTTGCTTTGCTGCTATGCCCCTCCTTATTCCCCACTCCTAGAACCACACATCCCACCAGAGAGCAGAGCCTACCCCAAACCCAAAAACTGAATGTACACCAAGTCCAATTGTTTGCTCGTTTTTGTAGTGGTGGCGTCACTTGGCGTCCAGAAACGCAGCGGTTGACTTCGTCTATGGAAATGGGAGGGGGAAGGGAAATGGGAATGAAACTCTGAGTGGGAATGGGAATGGCAATGGCAATGGAAATGGCACTGGAATACGGAATGGGCATGGGGTAAGGTATAGGTAGTGGAGAGTGCTCTTCCTGTCCGGCTGTCCGAGCTGTGGCTGCCGCCTGACTGTTGCTGCTGTTGCTCCAAGTGCTGCTCCTCGGGGGAAATTCCTGTCCATTGTACATGACTTTTGATATTTATGGGTAATTTCGTTGGCGTTCAGGTTCAGTTTTGGGGGTGGTGGGGGAATCAGCAATAAGAGCAACAACAGCAGCAGCAGCATTTTAATGCTAGGTGAGCTCCGAATGAGCCTAAGAAGCACAAGTTCAGACCAATTTTGTACAGTGGCTGCCCGGCAAAAGGACAACATAAATCAACAGTTTTTGTTTTTTAATTTGCTAGCCAGCAGCCAGCGTCTGATTTTGACAATAGACCAAATAATATATACTCTATATATATATTTATGTATATGTATATGTATATATACAGCGATAAGCTGGCAGCTCGTTGCCAGTTTTACAATTAGGCAACCCGTAAAATTTATTATAGTGATTTTTATCAAAACGCAATGCGCGGCACTTGGCGGCCCAATTAATCATAAAAAGTTCTCGACACCATCGAACCACCTCAACCACCCATCCGCCACCCAGTCACCCACCCACTTAGCCACACAGTCATTCAGGCGCGTAGCCGTCGACAAAGTGTCGCCCCGAGCTCCGTTGAGCAGCCGGAGACCCAGAGACACGGCTACTCGCAGCTCTCGAGTCCCATTTACCTTCGTCAACTTGCTGACATATGGAATTTTTAATTCGGTTAAATTTCTCTCACCTGTCATCGTAGACAAATCCGGCGTTTAATGTGTTTAAGTATAGAACAAAAGCGAGCGTCGCACAGCCAACGAGTCCTGCATAGTCCAGGGCCAGCATTCTGCAAGGAGAACAAAACAAAGCAGAGCTGAACAGACAGTCAGACAAATGAAGAAAATGTCCACAAATATTAAAGTTGAGTGTCATAAAATATATGCTCAAATTAATTCTCAAAGGCCCCACAACAAAGCATAAAATCCCCACAAACGGCAAAGGCAATGGCAACGGCAAAGCTTTTTATTCTCATCTGTATTTTTATTTTTTATACCCTGAACCCATTGAAAATGGGAAATCAGGGTATAATGGTTTTGTGAAAAGTATGTAACAGGCAGAAGGAATCATCGCAGACCCCATAAAGTATATATATTCTTGATCAGGACGACAAGCTGAGTCGATATAGCCCTGTCCGTCTGTCCGTCCGTCCGTCCGTCCGTCCGTCCGTCCGTCCGTCCGTCCGTCCGTCCGTCCGTATGAGCAAAAGGATCTCAGAAGTTATAAGAGCTAGAGAGCTGAAATTTGGCATGCATACTCGTGTATACCATAGGCAGTACGAGTTTGCTTTATTTTTTCGATAACTCATCCGATAACTTTTTTATCGAGAATAATCGAAAAATCGACATTGTTTTTTCAGCCTAATTTGAACACTTTTCAACCAGGAGACTTCAAATTTGCGTTGTATATAGAGTTAATGGACACAACGATTTTGTAATTTACAGATTTTGGATACCACGCCCCCTTCGCCCCCAATTTGTAAAAAACGCATTTCAAGTACTAGAGACTTGTGCTTTGGAATGTACACACATTTCAACTATATGAACACATTCTGAAAGTTTCATAAAGATACTCTTACTACAAGAGAAATTATTTAACTAATAAATTCTCATAATATTGCCCACATAGCAGCGCAGCCCAAGCGCAGCCGCTGCTTACTGCGCAGTTAGCAGAGCGCGTGCTTATAAGTGCATGTGTATGTATGTGTGCATAGAAGAAGTGCAGAATGATTAGAATATCAGCTTGGAGGGTTCAGGGTATCTCCCAGTCGAGCAGTCTCGACTGGAGCCTTGTTTTACTTTGGGATCATTTCATTTTGGTTTCAGGTTTCGTTTTTCTGGTTTGTTTTCTAAAGTATTTGTTAAAGGTACAAAAGGTGGAACGATGCTTATGATAGAATATGGTCATATCAAAAACTAGCTCTGTAGTTTAAATATTAAACAGATCTATAAATACATATATTAAATCTAAAAAAAAAATCATTTAGTATTTGTTTTTTATTATTAATTAAGTTTTTTTTTTAGGTAAATTTATTGTTAAGTATTCTTTGAAATTTATTTTTATAGTATTTTTGTTTGTATAGCATTTTTGCTTTTGTAGAGAATTTTAGTTTGTAGCAATATTTATTTATATTTATATATTTTTCTCTCAAAGTCTCCACTTGGTAACATCAAGAAAAATTTCATTCCCTGCCCATAGCAGCTTAATTGTAGGGAAATATCATCCTCTCCTGTGCTTAAAGGACTAAAAAAAAGTCAAATCTACGAAAATTAGTTGCAGAGACTATCTTCGACTTTTGGATAGTGCAACAATGGAAAATGACCCGAAATACGTGCAAGAAAACCATTTATCAAAAATGAGCTTAACATTGAACAGATTCGGCATAAATGAGGCAATTGACCACTATCATAAAGTCAAATCGAAAATCCTGCATAATTATCAATATGTACCACATATTTGCTGTGTGGTGTATGGATGTCCAAATGATTTACTAAACTACAGGCCTGATCGATTGACATTCAATGACCACCACCATCATTCCACATGCATCTGCTCAGTAATTGTAGCGAAAAAAATTGGTTCAGGGTATACAAATTAACTGGATTTTCCTACAAAAAAAAATATTAATAATTTTAAATAAATTTAAGGTACTTTAAAAAATGTTTTTCAATACAATATTTCCAATAGATTTGATTCAGAAGCTTCAGCAGTCAACCGTATTCCCATTTGCTTTCTATTAACCTTAATCACATTTAGCCATTCATCCGTATATCAATGGTTAGCAGCAATATTTTGCTCATCACTCGTTCAACGTGTCGCCATTGTGGTTCGGCAAACAAAACACTGTGAATGCAAACAAATCCGTGATGCACGTTGATAACGATTATGGCTTGAATGAAATGTAATTGATGCGAATGCGAATATGCGGATAGGGCTGGGACCCCGACAACCACACTCGGACAGAGCTTACAGGAACTGCTGAGTTGGTGAACTACTGAACTGTTGTCCTCGTCATCGTCATCGTCATCGTCATACTCATTGCACATAATGCGATGTTCTCTCTCGTACCTCATGGCATTCTTCGTTTAATATTAGCCGCAGACATGTTGTATGTAGCGGCCTCTCCCTCTCTCTCTCACTCTGCAGCCCTTTCTCTGTCTCTCTTTGGGACGGAAATTAAACGTTACGAGTACATTTGGCATCGTCTGTCCCGGGCTTTTGGATTTTGTATACAATTGTGTGTGCAGCATCGAGAAATGCTACTTGAAATGCAATCCGCTGCCCGGTTCCGCATCAGTTGCTGTACACCATTGTTGCTATTGTTGTTGTTGTTGCTGCTGCTGTTGCTGTAGCTGTCATCATCACCATCAAGCGCCATTACAAGTAATGAGTGAGGTAGGCACTCTCTCTCTCTCTCCGTGTGTGTTGAAGTTAGCTGGTCAGAGGGCAGCGTTCGCCTCGGTCATTGCATGAAAATTGTTATCTCGCACAATGCAGACGATTTCCGGCAGGCATTTTCTCTTGTACATTCTCTCATGTGCCCCAAACGACACGAATGTCGTCCCACCAATCACCATCATACGCCCTGTGTGCCAGCAGAAATTAAGTCGCACCGTTTGCAAATGACAATGCGCACTGTCCGAATGCGAATTTTACTTTCATTTTGTTTGTCTTTCTGGGTGATTCTGGGGGTAATACTCTCTAGCACATCTGAATACTCAAAGAATTCATCTTTTTATTAATTATTTTGTTCAGTCAGAATTCCCTTTAATATGCTATAATCTTAAATAATAATCATATATTTACGTAATACTCCCTGTGATTTGCTTCCACTATTCAACAAACATAATAACGGATCTCAGGGCAAATTAGCTCACATTCAATTCTCATGCCATAGCTCGTTCTCTCTCTGTCTTTCGCTCTGTGCTGTTGCCATATTATGTTAGCACTTCAGGCGCTACACACACACATACACACACACACACACACTTACACACCCTTCGACTCACACACATTCATTCCATGCCAACACTCAAGCACCGCCTATTCAAATAGATTGTATATCGTTTCGCTTTCACTGCCCTTCCTCGAATATCTCTGGCTGAAATGATGCTGCTAATGAGTTCTAATAATGATAATATTGCGCTACCATATACTAAGTATAAATATAGCCTATGTGCATACAAATATGTGTATGCGTGTGTGTGAATGCATGTATCTGGGGAGACATAAATATAAGTTATTTCGGGTGCAGGCTGATTTGCAATATCAGTTAATAGTTTCTGCTGTGCGTGCGGCTTGAATGTTAACAGACTTGGCATTATATTGAGTATATTAAAGTAGCAAGTACTTCTATGTGTTCTTTTGCAATAGAAATAAATATTAAAGTCACATATGTCTGAGATTAGTTAAAAGCCATTATAATTAGTAATTAGTTTCTATAAAACTTTAAAATTATATTCAACCATTAAGTAAGTTTAATTTATCTATAAATATATATTTATTGAAAGTAGTATTACTTTTGCTGAGTCATCTATTACAATACAAGAAATGTAAAATATCAAATATTCGAACCGAAATTTCTTTATAACCTTATTATATTTAAATATATTTTAAATATATTTTTTTTTAAAGCCATTTAACAAAACTTAAACACAGAAATATCAAATCTAATCAATTTTTAATTTGTGCGAAAATTTATCTAAACGTAGATAGAAAAACTTGAAATTACTTTAAGTACATATAAAATATCAATAACAGAAACTGTTTTTTAATAATTATTTTTTTTTTATATTAATATTTTTTCAATACAAATTTAAAATATGTTGATTCAGTTTATTTTAGCTAAATTTCCACAGTGCAGCATCAATTATAAATGTAACAAATTTCTTTAAAGAATTCAAGTTTCATTTGCGAAATACTTTGGTATACAAAATTAATCCACTAAGTTTTAACAGCTCATACATATATAAATTTCTCCGAATTTCAATTGCAAACATAAGTCAGAAAGTACTTAAAATGGTAGAAACCCCTTCCATAAATAATCGAATTGGACTCCATTTATGCAAATCGTATAAATTGTGTTTAGCCCTTCAGCGGGCTGAAATATGCGCATTTCAAAGGGATTCGACTCGACGGAACTGCCGACATTAAAGTCGCACTTTAAGCTCAAGCTGAGCATTTCTTATCGATTTTTATTTATTACCAGGGAGTGCGACAGATGGCGGCGCAAATTACCTGCTGCTGCTTGGCTGGAAGTCTTACAGAATTCGAGCAATTAAATTGCACGAGACGCAATATAAATAAAGCAGATATACAATATATATATATATATATAATGTACAGCAAAGGACGTCGCAGAGGCAGCTTGACTAAGTAGCCTGAGACCTTGAGACTTGACAGCACGCTGTGAATTACTTGGCTAATTTTGTCAGAGCCAGACATAAAAGGATATTGACACAGATAGACGATGACATGAGCAGACTGTGTGTATGTGTGTGTGAGTAGGTAGTTGATCATCATGTGTGTGTGTGTGCGTGTGTACTGCATATAGACTGTCGATACTCGTGGAGGTTTGCATACGGTTCAAAAGTCAAAGTGCAATTAGCGCAGCTCTTCGTGTTTGGCTTTGCAAATATATTTATTTTTATTTCATTTTTTTTTTGTATCACTGCAAATATTTACTTTCAATTTCGTATGCAAATGTCGCTTCGGTCTCGGCGCCATTAATCACTGCCACCCAGAAGTGGAGCGGGGGCTTTCTCTTATCCTTAGGGAAACGAAGGCGGATGACAGAAAAAATAATTACGTTGTCATGTTTACGGCGTACTGAAATTAGCTGAAAATATCTGAATGTGCCCATCTTTGATGTTGATAGCGCAGCACTCGAGCCATTACAATTTATACCGTAAAAAAATATATATTATGAGATGCTTGAAAATGGGCTGAGCGGCTTTTGACTTCTCTATGGCATTGGGTGACTGGCGTGTGACTTTTGTTTTATGAAATCAGCTAAAGAGCATGTTGACCTTATTTCGTGGCGCCCAGCGGAAATTGTCGCATACAGCCGGCTGGCAGTGCGCTCGCACAGCACACCTTAAACCGGAAGCGGAAACATTATTCCCAAAATGTCAAAAAACATAACAAAAACCCATTAGACACAATTCTGTTTTCTGGGTCAGCACAAAAAGCAGCAGCAGCAGTCAGCAGGCAGCAGGCAGCTTCAACTCCCAAAAGTGAAAACACACACAAAAACACGCCAAACAGAAGCGAAACGAACAGAGGAACGGAACAGCGGAAGAGCGGAGCAGCACAAAGAGCGAGGCGAACGTAAAGCTAAAACAAAACGACGTGGGTGGCCCTTGTTGGGGACACCAAAACAGCGAATAGACTCCAAACTCGACTGAACTAAGCTGAACCTGGGCCTCCTCAACCAGCAACACAGCAAACTGCACTGCTGACCAGTCACGGTTGCCGTAATGCGAGCATCCAGACTAGAGGAGGACGAGGAGAAAGCGTTGAGGCGGCGTGGGGTGCCGTGTGAGGGTAGCTGGAACGATTGCGGAAATCAAGTTGTGTCAACAGCTTAAAAGCCAAAATGTAATAAGCCAGGGAAATGTAATGTAATAAAATATCAAATATAAAATGGAGCTGGCTGGGAGAGCATTTGTTGCCATTAAAGTTTTTGTTGCTTTGAAATTGGAAGCAGAGGGCAGTCAACGGCATAAACAACTAAGCGGAAAAGAGGTAAGGGTTGAGGAAACGATACCCTCTAGAGTCTGAATATAAATTCCTAATGAGGACACATTGGCGTTGAACTTGAAAGTGGAAAGTAATCGATTTTTATGGTAATGATCGATATATGTTATTATCGATCATGGAAGAATCTGTTGTGGGTTCTCTGAATTAAGAAATATAAAATTTAAATTTAAATGAAAAGTTATAAATCGATTATATATTGTATGTAAGTATATATATTTTTTTTGGGCAGAGTAAAATATACATATGTGTACTTCAGTAAATAAGTATACAAATGAAAACATTTGACATTGAATTTTTAGAATTGATATTTGTCTAGGAGTATATAAATAAGTATACACTGTTTGTTTCTAAATGAAGTATGAAAGCAATATTAATCAAAAATCGATAAAATCTATGCAACGGGATTTTTGTTTTTGTTTAAAACAAATATTTAACTTCAAGATTTTGCATCAGCTATCGAGAGTTAGGTGCCTCTAAAATACAATTTTCAATTTATATAGTAAAGCTGACTTAATTGTTTTAAGAAATATTTTATCCATATATCTCATTCAACTGCTTTTAAGCTTCTCAAATTGGCATACTTTGCAGCTCAAGTCAAGATTAGCTGCATTTTACGCAATCTTTTGTTGTCTTTATATTTGTTTTTTTTTTTTGCAGCAGAAGATGCAGCAGATTTGCTTGCGGCTGGTAAAACAACAGAATTGAGCTCGGGGGCTTGGTCATAAAAAGCGTTGCTATAATACTGTGCAGCCGCAGAATATGCGATATTTTATTATTGTTGCGCCAAACAGTATGCAACACTTTATTTCAGCGCTATGTGCTTCCGCCGCTTCCTGTGCCTCGCAGCTCCCAAAAAGCATTTCACGTTTTATATTGCTATTTTTTGTGCTGCCCCTGCTGCTGCTGCTGCTGCTGCTGCTCCTATTACTGCTGCTGTTGTTGTTGGAGCTCGTCCAAGTGCTGACTCCTCGGGCTGTGCCAAAAACTATGCTATATACTTTTTACATGCGATTTGAATGAGCACAAACGGATATCATGTCCTGCCCAGGGTGTTTGCGGCTGTCTGGGTGTGTGTGTGTGAGATATTGTCCAAAGTAAGTAGCATATAAGTGCAATGGGAATCATTTTAAAACACTCGAAAGCCATTCAGACGCTCTTTTTTTTCTTCTTACGTACTTAGCAGATTATTAGAACAGACGTTTCTCTTGGCGCCAGCGTCTGGCATTTTGTCAGCTGCTATCATAAGGCCACCAGAAATTATTATGAACTGCCTGTCTAAGTATGGCTAATTGTGGACACGATCTGTGGCAACTGTGGAAATTTTTTTTAGATATGAATGAAATATTAATATCGTACTTTATGGCGTTTAATTCGAAAGCAAACTATATTTTGCAGTTGAAACCGAAATAGATTGCTGCAAACAATATTACAGCTACTCAAATGAAATATATTACATATATATGCGTTTATGTTATGCTTGACTAATGCGAAAATAACATCATTTATCATTGTGCTTTACACAAACAACATTTCAAGGTACTCTCTCTAATGGCTAAACTATGCAATTAATATTCTGTGTAATTTAAGTAAAGTACTTAAATTAGCTTTCATATTAATTGTATATTCTTTGAAAGGCATAACTAATATAAGACCACTTTATAGACTTTATCGATGTATGTTAAGCAAAAATTTCAATTAAGTTAATAATATTTATTGAATATTGATCTATACAAAATTCTCAAATTTCATTTGGGAATTCTGCAAATAATTATTAAAGGTGAAACAAAGAATTTAAAAAAATACCTTCTGATTATTGCTGCCTAAAATCGATTTATACGCTGAATTTCAACATTTTACATACCCTTTTTACCTTTTGTTAATTGATTTCAATTATTATAGCCGAATGCCTAGAACTTTTAACAAGCCATTCTCGGCACATTGAACCATGCAGCAAACAAACAAATAAATAACTGAAAAAAAAATAAAATAAAAATGGTTTCAAATCAAATATTCGTGAACTTTTCTCGCGAAGCTTTTGTTATGTCATGTCCGAGCTGAGTTCAGAGCCAAAACCCTTTGAAAGTTCAATAACAAAATGCAAAAAAAAAAAAAAAAAAAAATGGGGGAAAAAAGAGAAATGTATTTTAACTCTGAATAAAGTTGGGAATAATTGCGAAGGGCCTTACGGAGCGGGGTGTCGAAGAGGCGGCGAGACGAGACGCGCACAGTCGAGACTTTTTAATGGGCCGGCTACAAACTGCATTCGTTATAGGTTCGAGACTTGGGCATTGCTGGGGTTTTTGACCGATGTTCCGCCAAATTTTTTTGTCGAACAGGGCACGGGGTATGACGGGGAACGAGGGGTGGATGACACATTCGTGTTGAACGTTAATTTGATGTCCTTTGCTGCACTGTGTTGCACGCAATGTAAATGCTAATTAAGAGCGTTACATGTCGCTGTATGGGCGTGCCAGCACTAAGTGTGTGTGTGTGCATGTGGGTGTGGAGGGGCGTTTTGAATTGTGTTTGCTTCTTAATTGCGTAAACCAAGCATTTGATTAGTATTTGCACAGCAATTGACATTAAACAGTTCAATCAATAAAAAATTCAAGCGGAAACGGACTCAAGTGTGAGACAGCCGCAAATATTGAATGTCTTAAGGGCTGTCAGGGATGGCGACGCACTCTTCTTCTTCACCGCTTATAACTACAATATTCTTATTAGCACAATCAAAGCTAGGTTGGTCGGTGGCCGGTGGGTTCGTCGGCCCCAGCCAGTCAGAAACCTCAATTAGGCTGTCAATCAGCGCGTCGAAGCGCGTCACTCGCTTCCACAATAATAGAGCTATTGATTTTCCGCATGGTAATACCCATATATACACCTACATATACACACATAGGGACTTCGCTTCGTACACCGCCCTAATGAGCTTCGGGGCGTGCATTGACATGGGCACGGCCCTGGAACGTCTAATTAGTTGACGGTTTAACATTGTTCATCGATTTGATTATAAATTTAATGCAAGCATCAACAGAAATCTAAAAATAATAAACAATTGTAATGGAAGATTGCTATTCTATTGCTCATATTAATATACTTTTTTCCTGCTAACAATTCCTGATGTTGTGCTCAAAAGGCACTGTTAATATATATGTATTTAGATTGGGGCTGCTCAGCTTAGACAATTGTAAACATGATTCGCGGCAGTTCTTCAAGTTGAAAATAAATGTATATCTAAACTGACAGCTCGTTCTATCTATAGCCAAAAATGTCTAGATAGCAAGTTATCAATTGTTTTGGGTAATCAACTAATTGCGTTAAGCCCTATGGAAAACATTAATGCCATTCATTAACTGCTATCCAAATTTAACTTTATAAATATAGCGCATTATTATTTCGACTTGACCTAATCTCCTGCAACTCTCCACAGACCCAGATCTACACAACTGACTGTAGGTAATGCGTTTCTGAGTGGCTCTCATTTGAAGTGCTTAGCTTGTGCTCGTAAGGCTGGGGCAACGGCAAATAAGCTTGCAGTTTCTTAAATAAATAAACAAGAGGGAAAAAAACAAAAACTGAAATAAATCAAATAAAATAACAAACATATCAGGCATTTTTGCTGAAATCACTTGTGTTTGAGGAAATAAGCTTGGTGAGTGAGTACAAAAATCAATTTATACATATTTATTGCAAGGAACATATTATTAACTATTTTATTGAAATTTAATACAATATATTTGTAGTTTTTTATTTCCAGTCAGAATAAAATATACCAAATAGGTTAGTAGGCATAAATTAATGCATCGAGCTCATTGACGATGGGGACTCAGAACATGTTATGAATAATATATAATCGAATAATAATAATAATAATAGAAGGCTTGGCAGATTCTTGATCTGGACGACTTTATAGAGCCATGGATGTCCTCTTACTCGTTTTACTCTCAGTGAACACAGACTAAGCTCTCAGGCTCAAGATTTTTTTTTTTTTTTAATTTTTGTTTTTAAGCGTAATATCAGAAATGATGGAAAATTCGAATTCATCAAAATATATATGTGTATATATAATATATCAGATATAGTCAATTTTATCCTTATACATATAAAAGTATTTTAGGATTTAAAGATTTGATCTTTTTGATTTAACATTTGACTATGATAGATTTGAGTTTGAATTAGAAAGTGCAACTAAAATAAAAATGAATTGATTAAAAATAAATAGTATACATCGTTTCTTAAAGAGATGGGCCAAAGTAAATATGATATATATAAAAAAAATATGCATTTGCTCAAAGTCAATAAGTCATAATAAATTGTCACAAAGGAGAAAAACAAAGGCTCATGAAATGCAATACTCTTAAGGCATATCAGACTGTTGCAGACGTACGCACACACATACACACACACACACATGCACATTTAATTGTCACTCTTACAAGCTCACACACACTTACACACAGAGAGAGAGAGAGAGAGAGAGAGAGAGAGAGAGAGAGAGAGAGAGTAAGCTTTGCTTTGCCAGCTGTAAGAAAACCCCAATAATGAGAATGAAGTTGTACTTGTGCAACATTTGTAGCATCCTTACATGTGTGTGTGTGTGTATGTGTGTGGGTGGTCTGGCAGCAGTCACCTTTTATCGATTAGCGCATGTAACTGTTTCCACCTACGAATGTGAACTTGGCCCTTTAAATTATATAAGCTAATGGATTGTTGGACATTCAAAGAGAGAGAGGGAGAGGGAGATCGGGATATATAGACTGAGAGAGAGAGGAGTAGGGTTCCTTTTTGGCGGCTGCTGTAAATGAAAACAGGAAACGTTCTCGCATTCACTCATTCATTTAACACACAAAAGCCATTAAAGCGCTTTGTGTGAGCTTTGTTTTGTATGTCAACAGCAACATTAGCGTTGAAAGGGGTGAGGGCTGCGGGCTGCCCAACAGCCGCAGCTTTAAGTCAATTCGATCAATTTTTTTAAAGCCTCAAATATTTGCCTAGCATAATTTATGCGATTGCATCGAACTAACTGTGAAGTTTCACTCAATATTTCTCGCTTGTTGCTGTGCTACCTCAATATTTTTATTATTGAAAGACTTTTTACTCAGCTTTTACATCCCTTTTCTTGCCTCCCCCTTCCGGGAAAGTGCTTGCGCCACTCTCCTTGCGACTGTCTCGACGTCCAGCGCTTGGCAAAAAAGCGAGTCTTGCGGAAAAATCAACATTGCACAAAAGTTTTCCAGCACGCCTGCTGCCAAGCAGCCACACACTCAACCACCCACCAACCACCTACAAAACGCCCACTCCGACCGCCCAGCTCTCTTCTATATCTTCTTTTATTTTTTGTTTTGGCTTAGCGTTGATGATGTATGCACTTTCAAAAGAGTTGAGCAAAGTGGTTTTTCGGGTTTGATGAGCTAACGTCAGCCATCTGCACCACCCACTCGAAATATGAGTGCTACCTCTCTCTATCTATCATTCGTTCTCTCTCTCTCTCTCACTCTGTTTGCATTTCGTTGGTTGTATAATAAAGTTATTAATGGATTTCAATGGCGTTTCAATTATGCAATTTCTGCGATTTGAATTTAAATGATATTTTGATTGTTTACTTTACCGGCATGGGATATGGGTTTTTTGCTGACTGGGCGATTTGTTTGCCGATATTATAGAATATCTAAGTTTCACTTCCATTGCCATACAAATAAAAGTTTAATTTAGATTGCATGACAAATGAGAACGAACTGCAAGCAAAAGATGAGAGGACCTACATATGTATCTATGTACGTAAGAGTGTGTATGAAGAAATTGTAGGCTCAGTCAAGATATCTTAAAAACGGATGGAAACTTGTTTACATTTGGTTGTAGGCTGGGCTTATTGGAAGACAATTTGATCGATCAAAACGATAACTTTAGAGGTGAGAGATTTGAAGCAAAAAAATATATCGATGTGGCTAAAGATGTCGATGACTATATATATAATATGCTTTTAATAATACAGTTAAAATGGGTCTGCTCAAAAATAAATAAAGCAAATTATGTAAATTATATTCATATTTTATTCATAAATTTGTAAATTATTTTATTGCAGAATATAAAATGTATCCACGGGCTTAGCGATATATATCGTTAGCATAGCTTTTCGATATCTTATAATTATACCAAGTTTCAGTATGGCAAGCACTAACTCGACAAAGCTGGTCACACTGAAGTCAGGAGCAAAGCGAATTCTTCTAGAACGTTTAGCTGCGAATTGATAAAATTGTCACCCTAATATGCGTGGACGCTTTATAACCAAGTATAGATTGCCAGTCAAAATATCTAACATGAAACACAAAGATAATAAAAAAGAAGATGGAGATGGTTCACAAGAAGAAAACAAAGCTGATGAATCAAATGAGAGTGAGAATGAGAATAAGAATGAGAATAAGAATGAGATTGAGATTGAGAATGAGAATAAGAATGGGAATAAGAATGAGAATGAAATGAAGGAATCAGAGGTAAATGAGATCACTAACCGTAGTATTAGTGATGAGGTGGAGTGTAATAAAGTCGATATGAAACCGGCCGTCTCGGATTTCGATATCATCAGCATCTATGCGGAGATATCAAAGTTGACCACTATAGAGCGTTATCTGAATATGCTATATCGGTAAGTCCGCTGTGATAAATATATATTTTAAGACATCTATACAATATATCCCTTACAGTCCCTCCACTTGCTTTGTGCGCACAAATTGCCACTTTAAGCTCTCTGATCTGGACTACTTTCTGTCGGAAACACGCTATGAGCCGGAAAAGCACTCGGCCCTGTTCATACGGCTCTCGAATCCGACGTGCAGCTTACGGCTTTACGATAATGGCAACATCTGCTCCAAGGCCTATTCGTACAAAAGCGCCGCTCTGGGCATACGTCGTCTCATTGGCACCATAGAGCATCTAGGCTATTCGCTCGTGTTTCAGAATCCCCGCTTCAATGTGGTCAATGCGACGTTCTGTATGCCATTCTGTATCGATTTGGCATTGCTAAGCGTGGAGTACAGTGAGGACTGCGAATACAAGCCCCAAACACATCCATATCTAATATTCAAGATTCGCAACTCGACCACTAAGCTGGCCATCTTTAACAACGGCTTTATCTTTGTGATGCTCTCGTCGATGCCGCGCCACACCCAGCAGGCAATCACCTTTATAATGCCCATTCTCTTCCGGCATAGAGATGCTGACAGATCGGTGGATACAGAGCTGAGCATCGGCGACATTAATTTCAAATTGCTCTGGGAAAATGAGTTCCAGCTGCTATACCAAAGCTTTGTCAACTATTCCAAATGAGCAACAATGTTGATGTTAGCTCTTTTCCTATTTCTTATTGTTTCTCTTGTTGTTGGCCAACGTTTATTTTTGATACATGAACCTAAAACTTTCTATATCTAGTATATGCTCATAAATGTCGAAATGCACCGCCCGGAGTAGAGGAAACTTTTTTGGCTTAGTTATTTAAATGACAAGTGGGCGTTGCGCCAACACACACACGCACACAGAAATTATTTAAATATGTACATGGCTAATTCCAAGAGAAAACAAAGAAAAATATTAAAAGCTTAAATTCAAACTAAATAAAAAATATGTTTGTATGGATGAACATTGTGCATATATATACTTGTTTTGGGCGTCCATCTATTAAAAATGGAAAAGCATATATGTATGTACATATATTTTAGACTAATACAAATGTTAAGACAAGGCACTGATAGAGTGACTACCCATATGAGAGATATTCGTATAATTTGATATAAAAAGGTCGGTGCCATACCCATATACATACACATGTATATATAGCAGCATATCGTCCATGAGTATCGAAAGTTATGTGAACTGAACAAATAGTCTAAGGCATTCCCTGGTTTCGGACTACCCACTAAAGCACATCAGAGTTTTTTTACTTTTATCTGCAATGTCAGTTGTTTTTCACAAGTCATTAGCTTCATTTGCATACACACACATACCTATGTATTTATAAAAATGCCAATCCATTTAAAGGGGTTGCGGTTCACAAACACTAAAAATCACTCACAAATTTACAAATTTACAATGTAAATGCGAGCTGCAGCTGATCGAAGTCCGTGTTTGTATTTGCCAGACATAAAAATGAATGTGACGGGAGCAAGTTGGGATAGAGGTTAGCGAAAAGCAATCGGAAGGCCGAATCGCAACGTAAATGTGTGAAATGAAATTTGAAACTGTCGTTCGTTTCAGCTGCTGTCCATTTCAAACCTATTGCATTTGAATAGTTTTTTGTCTGCGTGCAAAAAAAAATTCAGCGTCATATTTGCGCATATCCCTCTCTTTCTCTCTCCTTGCAAACACACACACACACATCGCTCACTCTAATGGCGATATTGCTGCAGCGGTTGCCATATAAGCGGATAATTTTCAACATTTTTGTTTGCAATTGTTGGTCGCATTCAACGGGACTTTTGCTGCTTTTGTTTCTGTGAAAACATTTTTGTGCCGTTGACGGCTTTTCGCGTGTTTTTCGCTCTGTAAGAGTAGCTTGTGGGCTGTTGGGATTACTCATTAGAGCCGTTTGACTGTGCGTATGGAAAGTAAGAATTATTGAATTGGAAGAGCATGACTAAGAGTTACCCTGAATTCAAAATATTTGTTTTTATTTCATTTGAAGATTTACATAAGAAATGAATTTCCTTACAGTCCTTACAGGGAATAAAAATATCCCAAAATTATCAAGGGTCAAGGCTTTTTTGTATCTATAGTAACATATCGATCGGGTCATCGTAGTTATGTGCTCAGAAGTATGATCCCCATTAAAAATATCTAACAAGGTATAAGCTTGCATTTTCTTTAATAGTAGCTTTATATTTACTTCATAATAACTTGGAGAAGCTAAGGAAAATTTTTGTTTTTAATGAATTCTTTACGTTTTTTTTTTAATGGAAATATTTGCGCTCAAAGCAAATTAACTATGAAATCTGCTCATTTAAATTGCAAGCACAGGAATGTAAAGCTCCAAATGCAAAATATAATTAATATTACTTTGGAGTGTGGGTGCGCTGGAGTGACCATGCCTTATTATTCTTTTTGTTCCTTTTGTTGTTGTTGCTGTTGTTGGTTGGCTGAGGATTTCTGCAGCTGCTTTCTTGGTATTGGAAAGGGGCACACATTTGTGTGTGTGTGTCTGCATTTTCATAATTTCTACACAACAAAAAGCGAAGACCACGACAATAGCGCAAAAGGGACGAAACGAACGCAGCAAATTCCAAAGCTCTGGAATTTATGCAGCAAATATTAACTTACCACACAGACGCACACACACACACACACACATAAATTGTGTTCAAAATTTCTCATGCAATTCCTGTAAAAGGCAGCACAGAGAACGAGAGCGAGAGAGAGAGAGAGAGAGAGGCACAAGAAGTGTGGAAGAGTGTGGGCAGGGGAAAGGTCGCAACAGCCGCTGCCCAATTTGTGCATGGGCCAGCCAGAACTGACAACAAAACTCATTAGCAGAAGCGGCGACCGTGACCGAGACGGCAAGTATGCCGTTAGAATTGTGGGCATGGACGTGCAGCTGTCTGCTGGGAATTGAAGGGGATGGGTGGGCGACAGGGCGGTAGAGTGCTGCTGCTGGTCAACCGAAGCCAAAACGCAGCATGCACTTCCGTTTCAGAAAGTTTTCGCTATTTTATTCATATTTTTACTGGGCCGCTGCTGCACTTTATCTTTCTGCGGCGGTCTTAGTTGGCGAAATTGTGTGCAACCACGAAAATCTAATAAGCGCGCAAATTTGTTGACATTGCGCAAATGTTTTTTACGAGCAGCGCTCGCAGTCCAGCAGCCTAAGACGAAAAAACTTAGTAGCTCGCTCCCGCTCCCGCTCCCTCTCCCGCTGCCAATGTACCTCCCTCGTTACATTATGTTCCTATTATGGTCCTCACTGGCTACCGCAAATGTCCATTAAAGAAGTCGAAAGTCGCACTTAAAGCGCAACGGATGAAGCGAAGTGCAATGACAACGAGCAAACGAGGCAGAGGAAGGCGACAAAGTGCAAATGTGCGCGAGAGCAGGACAGAGCTAGTGAACGAACTTGACGTTTTTGACTCTGCTAAGTCGCGCGCGATGTTGCGTTAACTTTTTGGCTGTTGCGCTCTGCAGACACAAAGAAGGCGAAAGAAGTGAACGAAAGCTCCCATCACAGTCTGTCAGGTAGCACAACAAAGACGGTGTCGGAGCGGTGCTGCCAGACCGTCAGCTGATACGTCAGCGGATACCCACCGTCCAGACAAGACAATTTCATTAACCGCGGCGGCCAACAAGCACGTTAAGTCGAACGAGCAGACTTGCCTTTGAGTCTTTATCAGCCGAATGCCTGCATGCATGCATACGCATATACATACAAATATACACATACACACATGTATGCATACATATGTATAAATGCATATTGGATGCCGCATAATGGACGCGCAAAGTTTTTTAATTATTTTTGTGGTCTTAAATTGCATTTCTCGTGAATCTGTGCAGCGAAAGGACGAAGGACACGATGTCCGTGTGAGAAGTACGACCACAAAAGCGCCGACTTTATCAGCGCCAGGCAATTGTCATCTGAGCTGGGTGGCTCTACACAGAGAGAGAGAGGGAGACAGAGAGATAGTGAGCAGAGCAATGCAGCGCATTCATTTAAGCAAAAGTGCAATAACATGTTATTTTATTTAAATTTTTCTTCTTTTTTTTTACCCACACCATTTATTGCCTTTTGCCCTTTCATGTTGTCCGTTAACAGCAAGCGGCTTTAAAGCATTCCAGCCTTATTACGCAATTACAAGAGGATTGACACACAGAGCGCACATTTCGCTTTGCCCTTGCATTCACTCTTCCTGATTTTATTGAGGCAAATATACGAATAATTGAAATTACATACGACCATTCGTTCTACCGGGCAAATACAAAAAATCATGGGTAATTGGTATGTATACCATTTGGAAAATATAAATATACTTCGATTGCAATTGAGGCTTACGCATATGAATATCGATAAATGTCAAGGGGAAATCCATTAAAATTCATTTTTTAACTTTAAGTTGGCAACTCTTAAGCATAAAGAACAATTTTGGTGGGAGACTACGAGATACTCTGGCAAATTTATGGAATTCGCAGATTATGTGGTGAGTTGGCAGAGCTTTAACTGTGGTGGGTATATGGTGAAATATATGGTGAAATATATTTACGATTGATTCGATATTCGTTTCCATTTGGCTATCTACCTCGTATGTATATATACACATAGAATATACATACATAAATTACTTGCTTCACGAGTTGATGAAGTACTTAACTTATTGCCAACTTTTCCCACTGAATCAAAAACCAATTGCAACTCTTTTAATTAAATATTTATTATGTAATTAGCCTCGCACAGAGTATAAAGTTTTGCTGGCGTTCCACTTGCAAATCAATTAGCGGATATGTTTGCCTGCAACAGAAAAAGAAGAAAGAAAAGCTAGTGGAAAATTTTTGCAGCCGCCTGTCAAAAGTCGTTGCTAGCCCCAAACAACTTTGCCCGTTCATGCATTTTATTTAACACTCGACCAAAGGCAAACGGCATACGCCCTCCAAACATGGCAAGTGAAGTTGTTACGAAAGCGCACATCAATTTTAAGCAAAAAAGTGGGTTAGGGATGCCAAGCATGCACATATGTATAAATATATGTATATATGTATATCTATGTATTATATATTTGTAAGCTACCAACACGATTTCAATTTGCCTCGTTGATAAACGGCTGAGGAATTAATTCAGCCGGCTCTTACAAAATGCCTCAAATTTTTTTTTTATTTTTATCTGTATTTGAGCTAAAAATATTTTCACTTTTTAGCTCTGATTTCTCACACACACACACACACACACACTCATACATATACGCTCAGATACGTGTATATTTATGTATGCAAAAACAAAGTTGACTTTCTTTTGACTGTGCCTGGCACCGTCGTCTTCGTCTTCGTCGTCTGCGCTGGCCACGCCCCCGCCCCAGTCATGTGACTTAACTGTACTAAATAGTTTCTCACGTGACTCCTGCACATAAAAAATGGCTTTATTGCTGCACACGTATTCATTAATGGCAGCAATGAACTCACATGTGAATCGAGTGGGTCGAACTGGGCCAGCTTCAAGAATGCCAGCTTAGGTTGCAGCGTGAGCTAAAGGGTTCTCCTGGCCACCCACAAACACACACACACACACACATACACATACACATACACATAAACTGTATTGTTTGTTGCAACTATATTGTTGCTTGGCTGCACACAGAAAATGGTTGCAAGTCGTCTGCACAGGAAGTGCATATTAATTGTGAAAATTTGTACAGCTATTTCTTCGAAAATAGTTGGCTGTTGCTGCTGCTGCTGTAGTTGTTGTTTTTGTTGTTGTGTCAGGTAGCGACTGGCTTACCTGGTGTAAATCCATGGCTCGACTTGGCTGCAGTGCCAAAAAGTGGAGCATGATTGCAGCACTTGAGCAGCTAGTCAGAGTTTAATTTTTGGACTTAGCCAGGATATACATGTATACCAAGAG